TCACTGTTAATGTCGTGTGCAAACATGTGAACCAAATCTTCCAGACACCATATACTGCAAACTATTATTGACCTTAATATGACCTTGTAACAAGAAATGAAACATATTATCTCTTCCCTTTCTTACGACCTCAGTGCTAGACTACTGCTTCACTGTTGGTTCACAACTGTGGTTAACTCTCAGTTCAAGCCATATTTATGATCTTTTGCTTTCTATGTCCCAAACATGGTTCTAGGCATAGGAAATAAAATAGTTAACAAGGAATAATTGATTCCTCAAGTAAAACTAAAACTGACAAAAAAAAATTAATTCAAAATGGCTTTTCAAAATGCCAAGAATAAAACTATGGTGTGTTTGAAGTTGTGGGAGTCCTGTTTTAGAGAGGTTGGTCAACAAAGTGAAATTTGTGCAGAAACCTGAATAAAATGAGAGACCTGTCTGGATGTGAAAGAGACTCCTCTGGGAAAGCAGCATGTGGCAGATGCTTCCTGTCTTGATGAGAGTATAACCATACGTCCCACATGGCTAGTGATGGCACGAAAACCATGTTGTGTCCTTTAGGGAAGGCAAAGGTGGGACATTATTCTAACTGCAGTAAGAAGCCAAGAAACTATGAAAGGTTTGGTTTGGGACAGAGGGGAGGTCCCATTTATACTTGTCCAAAATAACCTGCCTAGGGATGGTACAGAGAAGGTTCTGAATGATACAAAAATTTGGAAGCAAAGGTGTAGGTTTGAGGCCATTGCAGGGTTCCAGGTGAGAGAGGCTGTCAGTTGAATTTGGTTTAATAAATTAAAGATGATGAGAATGTCAAATTTAGAATAAATTTCAAAGCTACAGAACATGGTATATGGTGATTAAATGGTCATAGAATTGGAAAGAAGGAAATATAAATATTGATAACTGGTCTGATGAATAGGAAAGATGATGGTACCATTTGCTGAGTTGGGAAATGTGAGAATAGGGCTTAACAAGGAAAACAAGTTAGCTTTCAAACACGTGGAATCTGAGATATGATATTATCTTTCCAACTGATCTATTATAGGCTGGTATTCAGAGGAAAGATTTAGGTTATCAACTTCACTGTCATTAGCTTATAGCATTTTGAACCCTAGGTAGCTCTAACACTCTAGCATTTATAAGTTAGAAAGACTCAAAGAGAATAAAGAGAATGTTTCTAAAACTGAGACCAAGAAAATCCAGAGAAACAAGAAAACAAAGGGAATAAAGGCGAGCAAGAGAGGGTTTTTTTTGTTTTGTTTTGTTTTGTTTTGTTTTGTTTTGTTTTGTTTAAGAAAGATGCAGTAATCAGTTGTCTCAAATGCCACCAAGTTTTCTGAGCTAAGCACTGACCACTGAACTTGGCTGTGTGGAGTCTGAATGATTCCTGTAAGAGGGCTATCTGCAATGGCAATGGAAGCATGACTAAAGTGGTACAATGTGTAAAAGTGGAGGGGATAAAAGTCAGAAAGTGTTGACAGCAAACACTGAAAATGCCTAAAAGCAGTTTTGCAGCATTTGGGTGGAGTGAGTGATTGCTGAAGGGGAGATGGGCAAGAAAATGGATGACATGGGATAGATAATGGATTGCTGCATTGCATCTAGGAACACCTTCAATTTCAGTCTTCTTAAGTCTTCACTTGTGGAATGCTCAGGATCCCTAGAAATGCATCTCCTTCAATTGTGAATGAAATAGATAATTCTAATAGCCAGTATTCTGGGAGCACAGTGAAAGGATTGTAGTGTGGCAGAGAGAAGGGCAGCCCCCAAAGATGTCTGCATTCTAATTCCTAGAATCTGATGTGTGTGTGTGTGTGTGTGTGTGTGTGTGTGTGTGTGTGTGTAAAGAGAGTTGTCAGGCACAATTACAAATCCTTGCAGTGGGACAATAGTTCTAAGCTGTCTGGGTGGACACTCCAAAATGATAGAGGGAGTGAGAAAGAAAAAGACATACCAACAAATGATGATATAAAGAAATGTGAGGATTCTGATTTGTAAGTGGAAGAAAGTACCACCAAAGAAAGACAGTGGCTTCTAAAGCCTGAAAACTCAAAGAAACATTTCTAGAGTTGCACCTTTGTCAATCTCTGCATCTGAACGCAGGCCCTTGGAAACATATGTTGTGTGTCTATGTTCCTCAGTTGTAAGATAATAAATTTTTGCTGACTAAGCTACTAAACTAATGATGGTGTTGTTTTCAGGAGGGAGACATCTGCTGAAATTCCTGCTGGACTATAAGGTCCTACAGTGTACTTGGACTTCCTAATTCAATGGCATTTGAGACCTTCTCTAGATATTAAAACATTCAGTTGCTTGCATGGAGAAGAGACAGACAATCACCAGATTGTATGCATTATAGGAAGGCATCTTGGGGTCTAAGATACCTATTAGACACATTTTCAAAATCCCTCTAGCATTTTTACCCCATTTTCACCCCAATACCCCATCTCAAATACTTGGTACTACATATTCTAGAATTTTCTGTGGGAGGTTTCTATAATATAAATATAGTTATTTTCTTTTTTGTTTCTTAAATGAGCCACCTAATTTGTGGCAAATATCTTATATCTGGTACCCAGTAGTTGGAAGATAGGCCTTTCTGCACCCCATTACTATGAATACAGTTTTGTTCATTAAGATCTGCAAGAGTCAAGATAAGAGAAGAGGAAGCTATGACTACAACAGAATATGACTCTTCTTATCATCATCATTAATTACACATTGGTTACAAATACATTTACTACTGCTCTTGTGATATATTGTAAATGAGCAGAAATTGATGCCTATGTCCACTGGATATCATTAGCCAGAAGACTTAACTTCTCTTTCTTGGTGAAACAAAAGAACACAAGCTCAGTGCATGCCATCAGGAAAGAACACACTTTCTGTCTTTCTCATTTTGTCCTGTGAAAGAGATGAAGTCATCTATGGACCTTCCTTCTCCTATTGACTCCTAACTCAGAAGAAATGGAAACCTAGAGAGGACTTTGTGCCAGGCCTCCCTCTGATGGAGACATTACTCTTCCTTTCTACTCATGCTCTGTTACTCTCCTGTATACAATGGTTAGATTTATTTTACTTCACTCATATAGCTTGTTTCATTTTCCACCCCATCTCCTAAAGTTGTGGGGTTTTTCTATTTTAATGTATTAAAAGAAACTCTTTTGATGAAAGAGTACAATTACGGGTGGGGCGCCACAGTGCTTCAGAACATCATTCTTAAAATGCAGTGAGTACCCTGCAATTTAAAGACAATATTAGACTACCAAATGCCTTGTGTCCAATCTATCTATCCCAGGCTAGTCTCAAACAGCCACACAGTCACAATCCTCATGCCTGAGACTCCTACATCTTGGGATATTGAGTGTGTGCCACCATCTGGATATCATTGCCATTTTTATGTTCACTTCTACTGTTAACACTAAAACAAAACACAAATATAGTGACTATGTTTAATTTTCTTCTGGTTTTATACCTCAATAACCAGGTCCTGAAACAATAGTAAGCCCTCAGAATTCTTTATTAAATAAGGCCAGGTCACACTAATCTTCAGCACTTGAGAGGTAACACTGGGAGCATTAGAAGTTCAAAGGCCACCCTGGGGTATGTAAGAACTTGACTCAAAAAAATTAACTAAATCAATAAATATTGACAAAAAAAATAATTTCTAGCATCTAACAAAAAGGCCTGGCTGATCTTTAGTATTAAAAATACATCAGTATTAAAAATAACTTAATATTAGTATTAAAAATAAATTTCTGAGATACAAATATCGATAAATGGCCACACCATGGAAATATGGCAGGGTAAGTTTTCATAACACTGGTGCACTCATACAACCAATCCCAAAGTCAAAAACAAAGTATTTCTAAGATTACCTATGCCCCTGTTAGTCAGTAACCATTCTTCTAAGGGAAACCACTAGTCTGTCTCCACAAATTATTACTCCTTCACATTAAACATCTATGTGAAAGAATCATCATATAATGTAGAGATTTTGTGTGCAACTACTTTTAATAGCGTATCTGTGCCACCCATGGCATTTTGTGTACCAAAAGTCAATGCATTCTAACCCTTTATTGGAGTCAATGCAATTTATAGCAGTGGCTACAGCTGCTATATAATGTTGATCAGTTGAACTACTTCTGGCTTGGATGAATACTGCCACTGTAAGCATCTCTAATTTGTGGTTTGTTTGATGTGAGTTTTATGCATTTCTATTTAAATGCCAGGCTGTGTGGAGTAGAAACTCTCAACCAGTTTTTACATACTTTCCCAACCAGCAGAGTGATATGATTTATTCATCATTGACACTTCTGCCAAACCTTAATATTGTTCATGTATTTTACTTAAACCATTTTGGGTCCAACACTGTGATTTAGACATGATTGAAATCTCATCATGTGTACCCAGAACATGATGACAGATATCATTGTATCTGTTTTATCTCAAAATTGAAGTTGATGCTCTGTTGGCCATGCAGGTGTAATGTATATCCCTGGGCTTGTGTGGGCCATAACAATGTTTTCAGGTTACCCTTTGATTGTGATGTCCACATCCTACATAGACATGTAAAACTCGGATGCCTTTTTAAATGACTGATTAGTTTTGCATTGTTTTCCTGTCCCTTAAAATATGTAGAGTAAATATGAAGATTGTTTGGGAACTTTGAGAAGGGAATTCAAGAGACACAGAAAGTATGAGTGTTCTGGCTGAAACAAAGTCATCTATTCAGTATTTGAAGAAGGGAACTTTCAAGATCTGTAAAAATTGAAGGAATATGCACTCAATGCTGGACACATGTATACTCTGTGTCTCTGGAGAAATGGCATTGAACAGCACAGCCACTACCTGTGACAATTCTAAATTCTTTTACTTGCTGTATCAAGAGTTCTCTATTGAGTTATCATTCAATAAAAGACTGGATGAAGAAGATCAAGTTGTTTTCCTCTATCTGATAGTCATTTAAATCTGCCTTTATCTCCACCACTATCTAACAGGTGTGTGAGTACTGCTGACAGTGAAGGAGGGACAGTGGACAGGAACCTATGCAACCAGGATGATGCTCCCCCAGAAACCCAAGCCTGTTCTCTTCTGTGTCCCAGTGAGTGTGTCATGTCTGAGTGGGGAACATGGAGCAAATGCCCACAGGTAATTTCCTTTTTGATGCCTGAATCTTCCACTGTTTCCCTTCTTTGCTGTTCTCTACAAATTTATAACATGAGTTTTAAGGCTTTCCTCTAGTGATATGGGAAAAGACTATTTCCCAAGAACCCACCCATAACTGGAAGAAAAAGAGAAACAAACAAAAAATTACAAATGAGAATGAGCAATTTAAAATACCGTTGCCTCTTCCAAAGCATTTATGTTGAGAATGTGAACAAGGAAAATAGCCTGTAATGATCATGCTGCGAGTTGACTATGCACCATTTTTAAGGGGTCTTCTCTAGCACCAAATGACTCTCATTATAATGTCTTGGTTCTGTTCCATTTTCATCCTGGAAGTATCAATTTCCTCCTCCAAGAGTTCCAGCCTGCTGTGGATGCTGCTTCTTTCTGTTCATACTCTGTATTTGCCTTTTGCTATTTTCCTAAAAAACGAGATGTTCTTTTTCCTATGTCACTGCTTCTTCCAGAGCTGAAATAAATTAGGTGAACCATTTGCTTTATTTTTCCCTTTTTAGAAAAAGGAAAACATAACAGCAATGTGGAAAACATTAAATGGCATAATTAAATGGTATTTCCATATGGTAAATCTTGATGTTTTTAAGATTATATTTCTGCTTGGAGATAGCAAAAGAAAAACCAGAATGACTTCCAAATATTGCAAAGAAAGAACTTGGATGCATCAAATTAAATTCTCCTGTTCATGAAGTGTGGAACAATTAGGGAAATCTTGCTGTTGCAATGGAAAGTATCTTTGAAATGAGTTAGTAACTCACATTTGCATTTATTAATTATTGAATCTTTATTATTTATTGCAACTCAGTGAGTTCTGATATGTATTATTTTTATCTGCAGAGTGATTCTGAAGGTAATGCAATACTAAAATGACCCACCAATAATACACTTCATTGTAGTGCTATTCTTTATTAGTTCATCATCATCATCTACTGAGAGTTTACATTTTGGGTCACATATTTTGGGCCAGGCCCAGGGTAGGACTGTTACCTCTAGTCCCATCACTGCCTACTTAAGTACTACTTACTGTAGGTGACTGTTAGGCTGGGAGTTGGAATAAAGTTCTCCATTTAACAAGTGCTAGCTGATAGGAAACTTATTGTGTCTGAGGAAGCCAGAGGTTTGGGGCTTATATTATTAACTCACTTAATTTTGGAAGAACTGAGTTCTACTTAAGCTGAACACTGTTCTTTCTTTAAAATGTGGTGTTTATTTTAATAACAAAGTGTTTTAACTGTCTGCATAACTTTTCCATAACAGGATGCAAACTTCCCACATTAAGATGGACATTAGCACAGTCTTTATTAATTAATCTACATATGGAAGAATGAGAAGCCTTGGGAAGTTTAAGTAAATGTAGAGGCTATCACTTTCCTGGCTTGTTCTAATTTATGCACAGAAGGTGCCAGAAAGTTCTAGAAGTTTTGCTGTGGAAATCTTGCTCTCAGGTCAAAGCCTTTGGTGACTGGGCTGAATTCTTTGTCGCAGGAACAGTTCTGAAATTGTTCCGGTATAGCAATTCACCTTTGATTCCTTGGGAAAGCTATTGTCTTTAAGGTTTCCCAATTGTAATAGTTCTGTTTTTTTGGAGTTTACAAAGTGGGGATGGCTAAAATACTTTAGCCTCCATTCATGCATCTTCAAGATGATATAGACAATTGCTCGCTTGTCAGTGTGAAATGAGAAGGCTGTTCCTTCACAAGCTTATGTAGTGTCACATAATGATAGTAATGATAGCCTTGACAGCAGCAGTAATAACTTTGAGCAGTCTCATGTGACCATCTCTGTGATGATTGTGAGTAACACTCTTTCAGAACAACAGTGCTAAGATGTCAGATCCTTGTTGGTGCCCTGACCACTGCCACCATGTCTTTTCCCAACCACCATGCTAATTTCACTGTAAACAGAGGCTTTGAATGAAAATGATAACCAGAACTCACAGCTGAGTACATCCCCTTTATCTAAGTATATTGTGCAGTTATGTCAAGTTGTGAGCTCTTTGCATAATGCCCCAGCATCCTTGGAGCTAATCAGTGCTGACGGCGGAGATGAGCATTGCAAAGATAGAGAGCTGGATCATTGTGCCTAAAGTTTAATTAGCATTTTAATGCACATTTCCTGAGGAAGAGGAAGCCATGATTTCATAATTATCCTCTGTACCATGTGTTGATTTAACAGGTCTGTTCACTGTTATCTTACCAATTTTTCTTTTAATAGTCAGCAGTGCAACATACATTAGTGGAGCAAATTCCTTATTCTTATTTATTTTTCCTTTCCACCAGTGTATAAGTGAACTTTATATGTCCTCAAGAATGATAGTGGCATGGCGATTAAGCTTCTGGATTACAGGATCCTTGTCAGGACATGAGGACAATGGCATCTATTGTTCCAGGATGTAAAGGAAAGAGATGGCATCTATAAACTGATGGTGTTTGCAGCATAGTGTTGACTGAAGAAGAGAAGTGGAGCAGAAACCTATATTTATATTGATTGCAACATGGGTGGGAAACTGTAGACCTGTCATAGGATATGTTAAGCTCTATAGGAAATATCTCTTCCTATTTAATCTGACAAAAAATAGAAGACATTCTTTTCCTGAAATGTAACTTTGGTTTTATTTAATCAGCAACCCTCAAATAAGGCACTGGATAGTTAATCACTGGGCTACTGACCACCTTGCTCATTGCAAAGCAGTTAGAAGAACAAAGCAATGTGTTAGAAACAGTAGTGGGGGCATTGGAGACGTGTTGGGATGAAGAACTGGAGGCTAACAAGGAGGTGAAGAAAATTAAATCAGTCCAAGGCAGAAACTGAAGGATATGGGGATACATGAATTTTACTATTTTATTTGCTTGGGAGATTTTTGGTTCCCATGACATGCATATATCATTTTTTCTTTGTTACAATAACTCCTCCCGCCAGCCTGGTCCCAGTGCCCAGTCAACCCCAAATAACACACAGAGACTCTATTCATTACAATGCTGTTAGCCAATGTCTAGGGCTTCTTATTGGCTAGCTCTGTCTTAAGTATTAACCCATAACTACTAATACATGCATTTCTAAAAGGTCTTATCTTAATGAGAACACCAGACTCATGTGTCCTCTCCTCCCAGGATCACATGGCGACCTTCTACTACATTTCCCAGAATCCTCCTCCTCTCCTAGTAGAGCTTTCCCAACCAATAGTGTTGACTCTTGAAAAGTATTTTGGTATCATTATTTTACCTGTTTCCTTTTTAAAAAACATTTTTTTTCTTGAAATTGAATATAATTACAATATTTTCTCCCTTCTCTTTTCATCTTCCAATACTTTACATGCTCTCTCTCCCTTTCCCTCCCTCCCTCCCTCTCTCTCTGCTCCCTCTTAAAATTACAGCCTCTATTTCTTTAATTGTTGAGATATATATACATATATTAACAATTTAATTGATATATATCCTTCTCAGTCCTTGTAATATTCCTTGAATTATATGATTCCAGGGCTAGCCACTTATACTGGATTATATTGGATAACCAGTTTGTAGTGCTCTTCCTTGGGGAAGACAGATTTTCCTTAGTTAGCTGTAGTCCTCTGTCTAAGGTTGAGACCCCATCAGATTGTCCCCTTCCATGTTAGCATGTCTGCCGGTGTCATCCTTGTTCAGGTTTTATTTAGGCAGCCATGCCAATGAGACTTCATGGGTGTAGCTCCTCTGACATTTATAGGACACTAAGTCTCACAGCAAAAGTCCTTGTTCCTCTGGCTCTTGGAAATCTTTCTACCCATTCTTCCATTACTATTCCAAGCCTTGGGTACAAGAGTTGTATTGTAGGTTTATCACTTGGGGCCAGGCACCACACAATCACTTGTTCACTGCATTTTGATCAGTTGTGGTTTTCAATAATGGTCCCTATCTGTTGCATTGTGACATTTATTTGGTGGGGGAGGTATTTTATGTGTGTAAAGCTAAATATATGAATATTTAAGTTTGTATAGTCAAACAAATGCACATGTTTGTACTTAGCCTTTATTTACTGCACATTTCCTCTTTTAGCTAATTCAGTTTTGTTTGTTTCCCCTGATATCCTTTATCCCTCCTGAATGTTCTTAGAACCCTATAGTTTTCAAACTGGTTTATAAATTTCTGGATTCATCGTATATATTTTAATATAATTTTTTATTCAAGTGTAGATGTATATACTTATACTACCAGTCTCTGCTAACGTTTTATTCATAAGGTGATGATACATATTTTCTATTTATGGCTGCTCTTGGAGATTGGCCAAAGAATCACTTAAGAAATAAATATTGACAGAAGAAAGCAAAGGTCTTGGTGATGATTATCAACCTGAATCACTTTGTGCAGAACCAAGCCCCAAAACTTCCTTGATAACTGTGTCTTAGACTTAGAAAACCCAAGTGAACATTAACTGATTCCCCTATAGCTGGGCTGATGAAGGCAGATATCCAGGTGTCCCCTCCCCTCAGCCAGATGGAGCCAGATGCTCATTGAAGACTAGTTCAGATGACGATTCATAAACACTTACATTGGTGTATTGTCACCAGGACTGACGAATGCCACAGTGGGAAGTTTCAAAAAGAATGAACTGTCCTTAGGTGTAATGGAATCTGAATTTTATCACTGCCTTAATACTGTGCATAGTGGACCTCTTTTCTACCCTGCCCCTCTCTCTCTGCATGAGTATGTCAACCTTCTGTGAAAGCCAGTACAGAACATCACCATTGTTCCTTCAGGCAGACTCTGCTTAGAAGACACAGAGAAATGGATGCCTATGTCCTGAGAACTGATCCATTTCTTTTATATTGAAAGTGCTCTGGCATGGCTTGGGGAAAGTCTGTGAGCCATGAGGTTTCATTACAGATGAATGGCACTTAGTACCAATTCTGCAAGCTGTGTTTTGCTTCTGGATGCAATTTGCCTCAATGTCTAGTGCTCCAACCACTTTCTCAGCCTCTCCTGACCATCTTT